ATATTGGTGAGGCCTCATCTGGAGTATTGTGTCCAGTTTTGGGCCCCACACTTCAAGAAGGATGTGGAAAAATTGGAAAGAGTCGAGCGAAGGGCAACAAAAATGATGAGGTGACTGGAACACATGAGTTATGAGGAGAGGCTGAAGAAACTGGGATTGTTTAGTCTATAGAAGAGAAGAATGAGGGGGGATTTGATAGCTGCTTTCAACTACCTGAGAGGTGGTTCCAGAGAGGATGGTTCTAGACTATTCTCAGTGGTGGAAGAGGACAGAACAAGGAGTAATGGTCTCAAGTTGCAGTGGGGGAGGTTTAGGTTGGATATTAGGAAAAACTTTTTCACTAGGAGGGTGGTGAAACACTGGAATGCGTTGCCTAGGGAGGTGGTGGAATCTCCTTCCTTAGAAGTTTTTAAGGTCAGGCTTGACAAAGCCCTGGCTGGGATGATTTAGTTGGGCAGGAGGTTGGACTAGATGGCCTCCAGAGGTCCCTTCCAACTCTGGTATTCTATGATTCTATGGAGTCGCCCTGTTTGGGGCGCGGTCACTGGTTTGGCAGACTCCAGTCCATGTCCCATTCAGCGCAGTCTCTCAGACAGCTTTCAGCGGCCGAGAGGGGGAGCCTGGAGACCCCCTCACCGAGGGCTGCTCGTAGCCCCCCAGGCAGCGGTGAGTGTGGGCTATGACACTCCGAGAGGGCGTCGGCCCCGGTGAGGCTGATGGTGTTACACCATTGTGACGAAGTGGGAGTTTTCTTAATGTTCTCTCTGAATACTGGGTGGGTGCCTCAGTTTCCCCTATTCATTTCTTAAGTATCCAGGTGGTGGGATAAGGGGGTGTGATTGTTGCAGATCCCTAGAGGGCCAGTGTGATGATGTTGGCACAGAGAACGGCCGACACCCTGTCTTCTGGCGGCCTCGGCACCTCCCCTGTAAAGGTGCCGACTGAAGGGGTTGGGGAACAAAGAGATCAGGTGGCCTCCTGGCCCGGGAGAGAGAGACAGGCCAGAGGAGGGGCAGGAGAGTTTCAGTTTGGAGCTGGCTGGCGAAATGGAGGGAGGCTCAGATGGGGCTCTGGCCTCCCTGCCGCCCAAGATGGACCTGACTGCGGGGTCCTGTTCGCTGCACCTACAAGCTCTGTGTTAGACCATGTTCCTGTCGTCTAATAAACCTTCTGTTTTACTGGCTGGCTGAGAGTCCCGTCTGACTGCGGAGTTGGGGGGCAGGACCCTCTGGCTTCCCCAGGACCCCGCCTCGGCGGACTCGCTGTGGGAAGCGCACGGAGGGGCAGAGGAGGCTGAATGCTCCGAGGTCAGACCCAGGAAGGTGGAAGCCGGGTGAGCTGTGTGTCCTGCAGACAGGCTGCCCCCAGAGAGGAGACTCCCCAGAGTCCTCTGGGGTCGAGAAGCTTACCCTATAGCCAGCCTGGATGGCACAGGTAAGGGCTGGGTTACGTCTTGCTCCACCGCGGGGGCCCCCAGGACAACCCACGCTGCGTCCCGAGACCTGGGCAGCTCAGGCTCTTCTGGGACCCTCCCTCTCCCCAAAAGAGGCTCTGGGTCCTGCCGGGCGGTAGCAGGCGACTTCTCCGTGTGGGCCATGGCTGAGGCCTGGCCTGAGGTGAGTAAGTAACCCATGGAGCGGGGCCGGGTGAGGGACACACTCGTTTTTGGAAGATAGAATTAGGGAAGGAAAGCAGAAATCAGGGGGGAGGGATAGCTCAGTGGTTTGAGCATTGGCCTGTTAAACCCAGGGTTGTGAGTTCAGTCCTTGAGGGGGCCATTTAGGGATCTGGGGCAAAAATTGGGGATTGGTCCTGCTTTGAGCAGGGGGTTGGACTAGATGCCTCCTGAGGTCCCTTCCAATCCTGAGATTCTATGATTCTATGAATCAGTTATTCGGCTGAAAACAGAGCGTGTCAAACGAGATCAGTCCATGGGGCAGCAGGCTAAGAAGACAGATGGTCTGAACCAGCTGAGATAGGAGGGAGAACACCCCAAGAACCAGTGTGACGTTCCCCAGGTACCATCTGGACCGACGGACAGGCCGTGTCCCCATCGTTCTCTCCTCTGGGGTGCCTCTCACGTGGCTTCGCCATGCGCGTCGCCATCCCCGGTCTCCCCCGCCCCTCCGGCGTGTAACTCACCCCCGGCGGTACTGTGCGGGGCCTGGGGCCGGCCACTCCCGAGTTACCCCACAGAGCCACCCCGGACCCGCTCCCGCGCTCTCCTTCCCGCAGCTGTCAAATCCTTTGGGAGTCTCCCACCTGCCCCTTTCCTCCCGGCCCCCTGTTAGTATCTAGGCCTGTGTGTTAGCCCGCGAGAGACTTTTGGGTCTGATCTTTAACACTCTTATATCCTTCCTAACGCATGTGACCAAAGCCCAAAGAGGCGGGGTGGGACGTCTGCCCGCAGCCAGGTGGGGTGGAAAGAGAGAAGAGGTGAAGCTGACGAGTTGCTGGGCACAGTGCAGGTGTGAGTACTAGGATGAGTAAACGAGACCGCCGGTCAGGGAAATAACCCACTTCCTCCCCACCCCCCCACGTACCCATTTGCTGCACCAGCCCTGACTTGGACTCGAACTACGGTCCCTGGGTGGCGCACCCGAGATCACCTATCCACTGACACCTTAAAGACTCCCACACCCCGGTCTGGGTCTACGCTGGTTGTGGGCTAGGTCTGTATCTGGGAACCTGGGAACCGATACTCTGGAATCTCTCCTCACTCCAGCCTGACCCCCGCCGTACAGCACCTGCCTTCTTAACTTGGGTAAACTTCATGGTGAACTTTTGCTTTAATAAAAGGTTTGGAGCGTACACTGGGAGGCTGCCTGGCTCCTCTCTGAAGCCAAGGTCAAGCAACCAGTCAGGAAGGGCGAGGGGCATCGGAGCAAGGAAGGGGGTGCGGGGTAAATGCTCCATGGTGTCGGAGTAGGGGAGGGGGACACAGGGTAAATGCTCTGTGGTGTTGGAGCCGGGAAGAGGGACGCGGGGTAACCGCTCGGCAGTGTGAGAGCCGGGAAGGGGCTGTCACGGAGTGTGGGGGAGTCTGGGCCCTGCACCCCTCTTCCAGGGATTCCCTGAGACTCTCAGCCAGCCAGTAAAACAGAAGGTTTATTGCACCACAGGAACAGTCCAAAACAGACCATGTGGGTACACCCAGGACCCCTCAGTCAAGTCCTTCTGGGGGAGCAGGGAGCTCAGACCCCAGCCCTGGGGTTCCCTGCGTTCCTCCCCCCAGCCCCAAACTGAAACTAAACCCCCCCAGCAGGCTCCCTCCTGCAGCCTCTGTTCACATTCCCGGGCAGAGGTGTCTCCTCCCCGTCCCCCCTCCCGGCTCAGGGGTCAGGCTCTCAGGTCTCCCCTCCCCAGGGCACATTCCCAGGTCAACACTTCCCCCTCCCCGCTGCGTCACATCCTCACAGGGGCACACGGGGTAACTGCTCTGCGGCGTCAGAGCCGGGAAGGGGGACGCTGGGGAACAGACTCTGCTGGCGTGGAGACCTCTGGGTGTGTTTGCTTGGAAGTAACCCCATTAAACAGCACCTTGGCTGCACGCCGGACGTCTGCTCTTGTGCTTTGTCTGCGTGAGAAGAACCAGGGCAGGGGGTGAAGGGAAAGCCCCCGAGCACCCCATCCCCCGAGCCACATCCCGGGCGGTCATGGGGCCCCCCCCAGGCTAGCACCCACACGGCGTCCCTGCGGAGGTGCCCATGCCCCTCGTGTCCCGGGTGCAGCTTCCCGGGCCCACTCCCGCCAAGCGACCCCCATATCACAGCGGGAACAGCCCAGCCAGGCTGCGGTGGGTTTGCCGGCACGGCGGCTCTTCCGCCCAGCGGGGGCCGTTCTCGAACTGCCCTGCCCGAGCTCCCCCTGGCATTAATTTGGGGCGTCCTGTGGCCGGAGCGGATGCTCCGCGGGGTCCCCTTCTAGCCCTAGACCCTGTGACTCTCCAGTGTTGGACAGTTGCCTTTTGCTGTTACAATTCCCCTCTCAGCCAGTGACAGACCGACAAACCGCTTTATTAAATACACAAAAATATAAAACTCTGCAGAAATGGGATCAGTTCCTCCCAAGTGCTATAAAATGTACAGGCAAGTGTCCCAGGGACCGAGCAGAGCTCGGGGGAGCCCAGGGCGGGGCTGGCAGGGGGCTGCAGGTCGGGAGTGAGGGGCACCGGCAGAGGTGGGGGGCAGGGCGGGGCTGGCAGGGGCTGCGGGTCGGGAGTGAGGGGCACCGGCAGAGGTGGGGGGCAGGGCTGGGCTGGCAGGGGCTGTGGGTCTGGAGTGAGGGGCACCGGCAGAGGTGGGGGGCAGGGCGGGGCTGGCAGGGGCTGTGGGTCTGGAGTGAGGGGCACCGGCAGAGGTGGGGGGCAGGGCTGGGCTGGCAGGGGCTGTGGGTCTGGAGTGAGGGGCACCGGCAGAGGTGGGGGGCAGGGCTGGGCTGGCAGGGGCTGTGGGTCTGGAGTGAGGGGCACCGGCAGAGGTGGGGGGCAGGGCTGGGCTGGCAGGGGGGGGGGTGAGGGGACGGAGAGTGGGGGAGGGTGGGCTGGAGGGGCTGGGGTCGGGAGTGAGGGGAGGAGAGGTGGGGGGAGGGCTGGGTGGAGGGGGTGTGGGTCGGGGGAGGGGACCGGAGGGTGGGGGGAGGGGGGTGGAGGGGGCGGGGTGGGAGGAGAGGAAAGGAGAGGGGGGGAGGGTGGGAGAGGGGGTGGGGGCGGGAGTGAGGGGCACCGGCAGAGCTGGGGGGGGCCCAGGGCTGGGCTAGCAGGGGGCTGTGGGGCGGGAGTGAGGGGCACCCACAGAGCCATCCTTCCTGTAGCAAATTCCGCCGTTAATTACCCAAGGCCTCAGAGTGAGTCAAAAGGAAATTGTGACGAGCCAAGAGACATGAGCATCCTGCCCTGAACCACAATCACACCCTCAGCTCTGCCGGGGCCCCTCACTCCCGACCCACAGCCCCCTGCCAGCCCGGCCCTGCCCCCCCCAGCTCTGCCGGGGCCCCTCACTCCCGACCCGCAGCCCCTGCTAGCCCAGACCTGCCCCCCAGCTCCACTCCTGGGCTGCCCTGCTGGTTTCTACTCCCGCTCCGGGAGGGGAGCGCTGTCTTGTGGGTTACATCAGGGGATGGGACGGGGGTTGGGCTGGGAGCCAGGACTCCTGGGTTCTATTCTGTTCACACCCTAAACCCTTCACTCTGAATTCAAATGGACTCGAAGGGTGAATCATAAACAGGAAATTTGTGGCTAGGGACAGCAGAAAATCTTGCAAAAGAAACAAAGAAAGACTTGAGCAAGAGAGACAAGGAATCCCCCATTGTCTGGGTGGGCAGACGGAAACAGCCCCGGCCTCGCCCAGCAGGGGGCGCTGTGGGGAGGGGGCAGGGTGCCGGCTGTGGGGGGAGCTCCTGGCTACTCCAGCCCGGCCTCGCCCAGCAGGGGGCGCTGTGGGGAGGGGGCAGGGTGCCGGCTGTGGGGGAGCTCCTGGCTACTCCAGCCCGGCCTCGCCCAGCAGGGGGCGCTGTGGGGAGGAGGGGGGATGCCGGCTGTGCGGGAGCTCCTGGCTATTCCAGCAGGGGGGTGCCGTGGGCGGGGCAGGCAATTGGGGGTGGGGCTTACACAGGGGGCATGGCTTCCTGCTCCATGGGGGGGGGCAGGGGGAATTCCCCGTTGGCAGGGGGGTCCGGGGGGGCGAGGGGGGGTCCGGGCGTCAAGGGCACTGTCCCATTGGCTTCCCCTGCCCCCTGTGGCCCGGGCTCGCTCCCCTGCTCCCCCGTGGCCAGCAGGGGCTCCGAAAGGGGCCCCTCGCCCTTCGCCCCGGCCACGTCCTCCATGGCCACCGAGGACACCCGGGAGTGGCGCTTCCCGAAGAAAGTGGTGAGCGTGGGCCGCCTGGCTTCGCCCGGCCCGGCCTGCTGCCCCCCGTCCCCGGCCTGCCCCTCGCCCCGCTCCTCCGGCAGGCTCACCGGCCCCGCCCACGCGCTGGGCCCCGCCCGCCCGGCGCCGAAGGTGGTGGAGCCGGAGCGACGGCGGCGCCGAAAGTGCAGCAGCAGGGGGAGCAGGGCCAGCAGCAGGGCGGCGACGATGACGAGCGGCACGATCATGCCCACGGGCAGCGGGCGGGGGCTGGGGGCCGGAGCGGCTGGCGGCGTAGTCAAGGCGTCGAAGCCGGGCTTCTGTTTGACCGGCGGGGTGGGGGGTAGGGCAGAGGGTGAGAGTTTGGGGGTGGTCTGGTCCTCCCCGGGGTGTCCGGTCGGATCGGCGCTGGCTGGCACGGTCCTGTCGGGGCTGGCTGGCAGGGTCCGGTTGTGTCCGCCCCGATCGGCGGTGACTGGCAGGGTCCTGTCGGGGCTGGCTGGCAGGGTCCGGTTGTGTCCAGTCCGATCGGCGCTGGCTGACAGGGTCCGGTTGTGTCCGCCCCGATCGGCGCTGGCTGGCAGGGTCCGGTTGTGTCCGCCCCGATCGGCGCCCTCTGGCTTGGCGGGCTCCGTGGGGGCGCTCTTGCTCTGCCCGCTCCTGCCTGGCACTGTCTGGTTCTCCTGCCCCGGACTTGGGCTCCCTGGTACCGTGCCCACTTGCCCCTTCAGTTCTTCTCGCTTCAGATCCATGTCGGGCTTTTCTCCACCCGCGGCCGTCGCCCCGGCTGGGCCAGATGACCCGGCGGCCTCCACAGCGGGAAGGGCAGATGGAGACACCGAGCCAACCGGCTCCTCCGTTGCCAGCGTCGGGGTGGTGGGGGGCATCTGCTGTGCCGCGATGGGTGGACGCACGGCAAATTTGGCAGAGGGGCCGGTGCCGTTGCTGGCTAATTCGGCAGAGGGGCCGGGGCTGTGGCTGGCGAACGCGGCCGAAGGAGAGGCAGTTTCCGGGCCGGTACCGACGTGCTGGCTTTTCTCACGGGTGGCCGAGCGGTCGTTCCCCTTCCATTTGGGTGACGTCTCTGCACAGGCTGCAGCGACCAGGAGAAGCAGGAGCGTAGCCGGGATTTTCGGCTGGGGCCAGGCCCCCGATTCCGCCATGGTGTCCCGCGCCAGGGCTCAAGGGACGGGTCCGGAGCAGAGAGGGGCCCGAAGACGCGCCGGACGGACACACACCAGCCTGGGAGTGGAAGAGAAAGTGGGTGAGTTTAAGGGCCGCTCCCAGCAGGGAGCGCTGGGGAGCGTCCCTCCAATTTCTTGGGTCCGTATTTGTCCCAGGCTGCACCTGGAGCCAGATTTAGAATGAAACATAAAAGGCGGAACTGAAACCCCCCAGATGCAGAGAGCACCACCGGCAGAGCTGGGGGGCAGGGCGGGGCCGGCAGGGGGCTGCAGGTCGGGAGTCAGGGGCACCGGCAGAGCTGGGGGGCAGGGCGGGGCCGGCAGGGGGCTGCGGGTCGGGAGTGAGGGGCACCGGCAGAGCTGGGGGGCAGGGCGGGGCCGGCAGGGGGCTGCGGGTCGGGAGTGAGGGGCACCGGCAGAGCTGGGGGGCAGGGCGGGGCCGGCAGGGGGCTGCGGGTCGGGAGTGAGGGGCACCGGCAGAGCTGGGGGGCAGGGCGGGGCCGGCAGGGGGCTGCGGGTCGGGAGTGAGGGGCACCGGCAGAGCTGGGGGGGCAGGGCGGGGCCGGCAGGGGGCTGCGGGTCGGGAGTGAGGGGCACCGGCAGAGCTGGGGGGCAGGGCGGGGCCGGCAGGGGGCTGCGGGTCGGGAGTGAGGGGCACCGGCAGAGCTGGGGGGCAGGGCGGGGCCGGCAGGGGGCTGCGGGTCGGGAGTGAGGGGCACCGGCAGAGCTGGGGGCAGGGCGGGGCCGGCAGGGGGCTGCGGGTCGGGAGTGAGGGGCACCGGCAGAGCTGGGGGGGGGCGGGGGCAGGGGGGCCGGCAGGGGGCTGCGGGTCGGGAGTGAGGGGCACCGGCAGAGCTGGGGGGCAGGGCGGGGCCGGCAGGGGGCTGCGGGTCGGGAGTGAGGGGCACCGGCAGGGCTGGGGGCGGGTGTGTGTGTGTGGGGGGGGAGCCAAGTGAATTTCACCCTATGGGGCTGGTGCCCCAAAATGCCCCCCCCCGAATTTTCCACCCTGCCTCCAGCTCACCCAACGACTGGGCTGCACCTGCTGAAATATCAGTGCCCGACCCGCACCACAGAAACCTCGGAAAGAGCCCGACAGTTTCCAGAACAGGCGGCCCCACCCAGCTGGCACCAAGCCCTGGGCTCCTGCCCCAGCCCCGCCGGTGCCCCTCACTCCCGACCTGCTGCCCCCCGCCAGCCCCGCCGGTCCCCCTCACTCCCAACCCGCAGCCCCCCGCCAGCCCCGCCGGTGCCCCTCACTCTCGACCCGCAGCCCCCCGCCAGCCCCGCCGGTGCCCCCTCACTCTCGACCCGCAGCCCCCCGCCAGCCCTGCCGGTGCCCCTCACTCCCGACCCGCAGCCCCCCGCCAGCCCCGCCGGTGCCCCCTCACTCCCGACCCGCAGCCCCCAGCCCCGCCGGTGCCCCTCACTCCCGACCCGCAGCCCCCCGCCAGCCCCGCCGGTCTCCCCCCTCACTCCCGACCCGCAGCCCCCCGCCAGCCCCGCCGGTCCCCCTCACTCCCGACCCGCAGCCCCCCGCCCAGCCCCGCCGGTGCCCCTCACTCCCGACCCGCAGCCCCCCGCGCAGCCCTGCCGGTGCCCCTCACTCCCGCCCTGCAGCCCCCTGCCAGCCCAGCCCTACTCCCCAGCCCTGCCAGTGCCCCCCACTCCTGACCCGCAGCCCATTGCTATGTAGCCAACTACCAGTCCCCTGCTTAACCCCCCACTCTAATTCCTCCCCCCCACATTCCCACACAGCAAGCTCGTTCTCTAGCTGATCCCACCGCACACACCAATTGCCCCCCTCATACCTCGTGGCTGGAGAGCTGGGGCCAGCTCGTGGCTGCAGGTGGGGCTGGGGTGTGGGGGGGGGTCTGAGCCCAGGACCAGCACGTGGAAGCTCCTGTGCTGCAGGACGGTGCAGGAACAAGTGAACGAGAAAGAGTGAAGAGGAGGAGAGGAAATGGTGAAAGACCTGGAAGGAAGTGGGGCCCTGGGGCAGCGGGGGGAGAAATGACGAGCTGCTCAGTTCCCTGTTTGGGGGGTGGCAGAAAAGGGACCTGCGGGGATTTGGGCCCAGAAATTCAGAGGAGTCGGCTGGGAGCGGGGTGGGGTCTTTGGGAGAGGAAATAGGGGGGCTGGGAAATGGGCAAAGGGACGTGGGGCCTGTCCCCTCTAGGGGGCGCCGGCTCCCATCCGGCCCCGGGTCAGGGGGCTGGCTGGCTCGGGGGGGCAGGGAATGGGGCAGGGGGCCTGTCCCCTCTAGGGGGCGCCGGCTCCCATCCGGCCCTGGGTCAGGGGGCTGGCTGGCTCGGGGGGGCAGGGAATGGGGCGGGGGCCTGTCCCCCCAGGGACAGGGCTTGTGTCTCGGCACAGATCTCAGACCCAGCCGTCCAGGCAACACCGAGACTCTTTATTGCGCGAGTCGGTGCCGGGCCGTTCGCGCCACAGGCCGGCCACCGAACGCCGGGCCTGGCCGAGCCCCCCAGGCCGTGCTCTGGGCAGCCGCGGCAAAGCAGGCGGGGGGTGAATGGGGGACACACCGAGCCCCCCGCCCCCCCAGGGGTTGTTAACGGAGCCAGGAGCTTCGGCCACTTCTGCACTTGTCCGTAGCCCCGTGAACTGGCCGCTGGCCGAAATTCCCCGTGTCTCTGTGCCCCATGGCGGGTGGGGGGGAGGGCGGGGGGTGCAGGCCCGGCTGAGCCCCCTGGCAGGAGAGAAGTAACAGTGGATGGGGCAAACAGAGCCCCGTGCCAGGGGACAATGGGGGGGTCCTCAGCGGGCTTGTGGGGCGCCCCAGAGTTTTCAAGATGTCCCCCCAAAATCTCAGCTCAGCCCCAACATCCATGGGGTGAATGCTGCTTCTGGGGGCCACGGGGGGGGGTTGCCTCCTGATGCCCCCCCCCGCGCCTGTGCTCACGGCCCCCTCCCCAGGCCGCCCCCTCCTCGCCGGAAGAAGTCGGAGATGTCCTGCAGGGTGACGTGGGGCTGGGCCCCCCAGGCTGGCGCCTCGGCGTCCCACAAGGCCGCGGTGCTGCCGGTCGGCCCCCGGTACCAGTCCTCGGCGCCGGGCGTGGGCCGCGGGATCCACAGCTCGCCCGCCTCCGCCTGGGGGGCTCCGTCCGGCTGGGGCGGGGCCGCCGGCTCGATCCACAGCGCCCCCCCCCGGCGCCACACGCTGGGCACCCCCCGGGCCCGGGCGGCCCGGAAGAGCCGCTCGCCCAGCAGGGCCGAGAGCACGGCGAAGAGGCCGGCCACCCCGGCCAGCGCCAACATGGCCGCCAGGCAGGGGACGCAGGGCGGGGCGGGGGGCGGCGAAGGGGGCGGGAGCGCGGGGACGGGGGGCAGAGACGGGGGCATCGTCGGCGATCCGCTGCAGAGAGAGAGAGAGAGATGGGGGGGTTCATGGGGGGGAGGTCCCAGCTCTGATCCAGGACTGGCTGCGGGGCGGGGGGGGACGCGGGGCCTGTCCCCTCTCGGGCGGGGGGGCGGCTCTGATCTGGCCCCAGGGCAGGGGACTCGGGGGTGCGGGGGGGGGACGCGGGGCCTGTCCCCTCTCGGGGGGGGGGGGGCGGCTCTGATCTGGCCCCAGGGCAGGGGACTCGGGGGTGCGGGGGATGGGATGCGGGGCCTGTCCCCCTCTCGGGGGGGGGGCGGCTCTGATCTGGCCCCAGGGCAGGGGACTCGGGGGTGCGGGGGGGACGCGGGGCCTGTCCCCTCTCGGGGGGGGGGCGGCTCTGATCTGGCCCCAGGGCAGGGGACTCGGGGGTGCGGGGGATGGGATGCGGGGCCTGTCCCCTCTCAGGGGGGGGGGGGCGGCTCTGATCTGGCCCCAGGGCAGGGGACTCGGGGGTGCGGGGGGGGACGCGGGGCCTGTCCCCTCTCGGGGGGGGGGCGGCTCTGATCTGGCCCCAGGGCAGGGGACTCGGGGGTGCGGGGGGGACGCGGGGCCTGTCCCCTCTCGGGGGGGGGGGGCGGCTCTGATCTGGCCCCAGGGCAGGGGACTCGGGGGTGCAGGGGATGGGACGCGGGGCCTGTCCCCTCTCGGGGGGGGGGGGCCTGGCTCTGATCTGGCCCCAGGGCAGGGGACTCGGGGGTGCGGGGGGGGACGCGGGGCCTGTCCCCTCTGGGGGGGGGGGGCTGGCTCTGATCTGGCCCCAGGGCAGGGGACTCGGGGGTGCGGGGGGGGACGCGGGGCCTGTCCCCTCTCAGGGGGGGGGGGGCGGCTCTGATCTGGCCCCAGGGCAGGGGACTCGGGGGTGCGGGGGGGGACGCGGGGCCTGTCCCCTCTCGGGGGGGGGGGGCTGGCTCTGATCTGGCCCCAGGGCAGGGGACTCGGGGGTGCGGGGGGGGACGCGGGGCCTGTCCCCTCTCGGGGGGGGGGGGGGGGCTGGCTCTGATCTGGCCCCAGGGCAGGGGACTCGGGGGTGCGGGGGGGGGACGCGGGGCCTGTCCCCTCGGGGGGGGGGGGCTGGCTCTGATCTGGCCCCAGGGCAGGGGACTCGGGGGTGCGGGGGATGGGATGCGGGGCCTGTCCCCTCGGGGGGGGGGGGGCTGGCTCTGATCTGGCCCCAGGGCAGGGGACTCGGGGGTGCGGGGGGGGACGCGGGGCCTGTCCCCTCTCGGGGGGGGGGGGGGGGCTGGCTCTGATCTGGCCCCAGGGCAGGGGACTCGGGGGTGCGGGGGATGGGATGCGGGGCCTGTCCCCTCGGGGGGGGGGGGCTGGCTCTGATCTGGCCCCAGGGCAGGGGACTTGGGGGTGCGGGGGATGAGACGTGGGGCCTGTCCCCTCTCGGGGGGGGGGCTGGCTCTGATCTGGCCCCAGGGCAGGGGACTCGGGGGTGCGGGGGATGGGACGCGGGGCCTGTCCCCTCTCGGGGGGGGGGGGGCGGCTCTGATCTGGCCCCAGGGCAGGGGACTCGGGGGTGCGGGGGATGGGACGTGGGGCCTGTGCCCTCGGGGGGGGGGCCGCCGGGTCCGAAGCGGGGGATGGGCCATGGGCTACTCACGTCAGGGCCGGGAGTGGTGGGTGCCCGGTGAGCCAGCGGCTCGTGGGGGGTGGCGAGGGCCCGCGGGCTGGGCCGGGCGGTGCCCCATGGCTGGCCGGGGCCGTGTCGGGAGCGGGGCGGGGCTGGGGGGGGATGTGGTCGATGGCGTGACGCAGCATTTCCTGCCCCGGGCCGCCAGCGCGACTGACGTGATGGAAACGGCTTCTGGGGCTGGGGAGGGGCTCGGAGGGGGGTACCCTGTCCTCAGAGCCCTGCGGGGACCCAGGCGTCCTGGCCTGCTCCCAGTTCAGGCCCCTCCCTTCGGTCCGCCAGGGCTCCCGCGTCTCCGGCACTTCCTGTCTCAAACCTGCGCCCAGCTTGGCTGGGAGGTCCCCGCCTGTGGGGATGGGACGCAGCGGGGAGGGGGGAGCGTTGACCTGGGAATGTGCCCTGGGGAGGGGAGACCTGAGAGCCTGTCACCTGAGCGGGGGGCGGACGGGGAGGTGACACCTCTGCCCGGGAATGTGGACGGAGGCTGCAGGAGGGGGCCTGCTGGGGGGTTTAGTTTCAGTTTGGGGCTGGGTGGAGGAACGCAGGGAACCCCAGGGCTGGGGTCTGAGCTCCCTGCTCCCCCAGAAGGACTGGACTGAGGGGTCCTGGGGGTACCCACAAGCTCTGTTGGGGACTGTGTTTCTGTTGTCCAATAAACCTTCTGTTTCACTGGCTGGCTGAGAGTCTCAGTGGATCCCAGGAAGAGGGGTGCAGGGCCTGGACTCCCCCACACTCCGTGACAACATAGTCCCCTGCCTCCGGCCCTGTCATCCGGCTGTACACCTCCACGGCTTTGGGGTCCAGTCAGGGGGTGAGGAACTGGAGCCTGTCTGCAGGGTCAACCCTGTGCATCTCGCAGGCATTCTCAAAGGCCGTCAGGAAGCATCTATGTCCTCCCCCTCCTTCGCTGGGCCAGGAAGCACTTATCAAAGCTCCTTGCCGTCTTGGGTCCCCCCACACTCACCACAGCCGGGGCCCCACTGCTCCTCAGCCTGGCCAGCTCCAGGTCATGCTGCCTCTGTTTCTCCTTCTCCTTCTCCTCCTGCTCATGTTGACGTTGTTTCTCCTTCTTCTTCTCCTCCTGCTCATGTTGACGTTGTTTCTCCTCATGTTGACGTTGTTTTTCATGATCCTCCAGCTCCCTCATTTCCATCTCCCTCTCCCATTCCAGCCGCCTCCGCTCCAGGGATGGGGAGCTCCGCCGGGAGGATCCCCTGCTGGGTGCTGGGGTCAGGGTGCCCTCGGTATTCGCTGGGCTTCCCCCAACCCCTCCCCCAGGCCTAGGTAGGAAGGGTCTCGGGATGTCCTCGGCAGCCGTCTGACCCCTCTGTCACGGAGTCCCTGGGCGATGCTCTGGAACTGCTCCCCATGAAGCCAGTCAGGACGGGCAGTCGCCTTTCTGTGAGCAGCCTGTCTTCAGGACACACAGCTCACACCGCTTCCACCTTCCTGGGTCTGACCTCGGAGCATTCAGCATCCTCTGCCCCTCCGTGCGCTTCCCACAGCGAGTCCGCTCAGGCGGGGCTCCTGGGGAAGCCAGAGGGTCCTGCACCCCAACTTCGCAGTCAGACGTGACTCTCAGCCAGCCAGTAAAACAGAAGGTTTATTAGACGACAGGAACATGGTCTAACACAGAGCTTGCAGGTGCAGAGAACGGGACCCCTCAGCTGGGTCCATTTTGGGGGGCAGTGAGCCAGACAACCACGTCTGCACTTCACTCCATATCCCAGCCAGCCCCAAACTGAAAAACCCCCCCCAGCCCCTCCTCCTCTGGGCTTTGTTCCTTTCCCGGGCCAGGTGGTCACCTGATTCCTTTGTTCTCCAACCCTTCAGCTCTCACCTTGCAGGGGGGGAAGGGCCCAGGCCATCAGTTGCCAGGAAACAGGGTGTCGGCCATTCTCTGTGTCCAGATCCCTGCACACACCTGCCCTCTAGGGCTCTGCAATGATCATACACCCTTACCCCACCACCTAGATACTTAAGAACTGCATAGGGGAAACTGGAGGCACCCCCACACTATTCAGAGGAAACATTAAGAACAGGCCCACTTCGTCACATCTCTCCCCCTTCGAGATCGAACTGAGCGGGGTCACTTTACCCGGTGACCTGGGGAAGTTTGAAGCCACCAATGTTCCCATGGATGCCCCAGCATCTCTCCCGTTCCTTGGTAGGAGTTACACCAGGCCCTTCCAGTTTCACGCCCTCCCTTAGGTCGGGGGTGGTCGATAGCACTAGCAGGCTGCATGTGGGAAGGTTTCTGCAGCCCATGCCCTTTGGCCACCCCAAAACCCCAGGGGTCAAACTGGGATTGGGTTTTCTCCCAGAGCTCCAGTCTGGAGGGCTGCAATTCGGGCTCTCTTGGTTAAGGGCCCCCATCTTGACCTGGGCCACATACTGTTCACTTACAGAACTAGCATGGAGACATCCCTTTCCCAACAACCTTGTCTCCCCAACAAGCTGGCCAAACACAGCCACTTGGTTATAGGACGGTATACCTTTCTTAACAGCTTTCACTCCATCTGAGACCTTCTCAAAGCTATCCACACTGGATCTTTCAACAGGAAAGTCAGTGGATCCATTCACAACAGAAAATTTCTGGCTGTTAGGAACTGAAACTTTCTTGATTAAATCAGTTTCACACCCTTCAGTGGCAGTAAACTGCTTGCAAAGACTCCATGAGGATTCCTTTCCCGAGGGCTTTTCTATGCAACAATTCACCCCTCCCAGAAATTCTGCTCTTACCCTCTTTACCTAGGGCTTGCTCTAGGGGAACACTTTCCTGAGCAACTACAGACTCTTTCTGGGTCTCCCTTACATCCAGAATCACCTCTGGCCCATCAGGCGGATTCCTACACAATCCCCTTTCATGCAAACTTACAGACTTCCTAGATAACAGGTCAGAAGCATTCTCCTTCCCTTTGCCACACACAAGTTCAGGAATCTTTTCCTCCTTGCTACAGGTTTCCACACCCTCAGTAGGTTCCACAATCACACACCTTTCTGCTCTCCTTGTGCCCTGGCTAGGATCTCACCCTGATTAGACAGAGTTGCGACACCCTTTCCCAACAACACACTAGCAACAGGCAAAATACAAGCACCAGAATTGTCTGCTCTCTGGGATTTTACATAGACCCTAACTGGATGCGACCTAGTTACAGGGCCATTCTCCCGAGCAGACAGAAACTTAGGACCCTTCCCTTCCTGGGCTTTAGCTGAATCCAGAACCAGCTCTGAGACAACGGCATGACCCTCAACCATCACAGGCTGAAAGGCCCCTTCTGTCTGCTCCACAGACCAAGAAGAGCCGGACACACTTCCTCCTTTACCAGACACACAGGTTGGGATCTCATTCCCTTTGTCCCAGCACACAAGGCTGGTCACAGACAACTGCTTGGAGATCAGGGTAGCTCCCTCCATAGGCAAGTCAATACCCCCTGACAGAGAGACCCATTTCCTTCACTGTCCCAATTCTCCACCCAGCTAACAGGTAAGGTCCAGGGACTCTCATCTTCCACTCTCCTCGCCTTCCCACCCTGCTGACTGGACACAGCCATCAGCTCACAAGGCTGCCTAGGCTCATCCAAACTTCCCTTACCAAGCACCTTGCCACTCCCCACAGATCCCCTGCCCTGCCTGTGTCTCCCCGCACTCAGCTGGGGTCTCAGCTCCCACTGTGCTCAGCGCTGCCCTTGCTGTCCCAGTGGGGGCAGGCCACTGCTTTCCTCACTGCATCAGAGCCAGCGAGAGTCCCCAGTCTGGTGTGCAAGGGGGCAGGGAGCATCTCTCTGTCCCACCGAGTCCCAGGGGTCTGGTTACAGGCAGACAGGTAGCCTGAGCCTAGCGGCTCCTCCCTGCTGCCAGCCCGGTCATCTGCATTTTCACTGACCATTTCCCTCTCCACCGATTGGTTCCCTGGATTCAAATTCAAACCCTCGGCCGTTACAGGAGCAGGGCCTGGATCCTGTCCAAAGAGACACAGTCACCCCACAACAGGGTCTCGCAGCTGGTGTCCTGGGGCACCCCAACGACCAGCCAGCCCCACCCCTCCTGGGTCTGCACAGGGATCTGGGCCATAGGCAGGGCGAGGGGCTTCGTCCCTGGGACCCTCACCCAGCTCACACAGGCCCTCGGCATCTGAGACTGCACCACCCAGGGCCTGACACCAGTTCTCTCTGTCCCAGGATCTCGCCACCCCAGGAATGTCTCCCCATTGACCATCCCCTTCCGCTCCCACTGGGGGTCCGAGGGGCCTGGCCCCAGGAAACTCCACACAGACATACAGGTTGGGACCAGGAGTGGGAGCCTGTCCACCTCCCCACCCATCTGGCTGATGGAGTCTGTGGCCTTGGGACCCAGCAAGGGAGCTAGACACCGGGGCTTTTCCGCAGGGTCCCCCTGGTTCAAATCGCCAGCCTGCTCAAAGGCAGTGAGGTGGGCATCCACACCCCCCCCCTTAACTAGGGGCAGCAATTTAGTCTCGAGGTTCCCTGTGGAACTGGCCCCCCGGGATCTATCCCCACTCACCCCGGGGAGGTCCCCTAGGCCTCTCCGCCCCACCACCGCCAGTTCATCCTGCTGCTGCTTCTGCAGCTCTTTCTCGGGCTCTCGCTGTCTCCCACGGTCCTCTTGCTCTCTCAGACTCAGCTCCAATCCCGTCCATCTCCGATCCCTAGATGGGGAACCCGATCGTGAAGACCCCCGTCTGGTCGGGGACAGGAGTCTTGGCGATGCCTGGCTCCCGCTCCAGCTGCTCCCAGATCCTGCTATAGCCCCAGTTGGGGTCAGGAATCTGTTCCTTAGAGCGGTCATCCTCCTCCAGCTGCACGATTAACTCTGCTTTGGTGAACTTTCCAACGCTCAACCCTCTCTTTCTGCACAGGGTTACAATGTCCTTCTTAAGGAGACGGTGACAGGCCATCACTCCGCTCCTCCCAAGTTGTTGTGGACTCACAGGCCCGTGTGCTCTCAGCTCCCCACGGTTTCCAGGGAGAACCCCTAGTGTGCCAGCCCTCCTCGAGGTCACCACCTCTTTGCCAGGGTCGAGCTGCAGACTCCTCCGCCCCTTGGACTGCTCGCTGCAGTCCCCAGGGGAACCCTGTTACTGCACAATCCTTCTCGCTGGTCACACACTCCCAGGGGTTAACCGCCCCCCGAAACCGCTCCTCTCTGAGCCTTCAGCAGGCCTGGTCCTCGGCAATCCCCCTTCGTGTTACTGCTCCCCAGTCACTTACTGCAGGAAGCACCATCCACGGGGTGCAGTACATCCCACCGCTGCCACCAGTTGTCCACGGAGTCCCTGGGCGATGCTCTGGAACTGCTCCCCATGAAGCCAGTCAGGACTCTGGGGCAGTCGCCTTTCTGTGAGCAGCCTGTCTTCAGGACACACAGCTCACACAGCTTCCACCTTCCTGGGTCTGACCTCGGAGCATTCAGCATCCTCTGCCCCTCCGTGCGCTTCCCCCAGCGAGTCCGCTCAGGCGGGGCTCCTGGGGAAGCCAGAGGGTCCTGCACCCCAACTCCGCAGTCAGACGTGACTCTCAGCCAGCCAGTAAAACAGAAGGTTTATTAGACGACAGGAACATGGTCTAAAACAGAGCTTGCAGGTGCAGAGAGCGGGACCCCTCAGCTGGGTCCATTCTGGGGGGCAGTGAGCCAGACAACCCCGTCTGCACTTCACTCCATGTCCCAGCCAGCCCCAAACTGAAACTCCCTCCAGCCCCTCCTCCTCTGGGCTTTGTTCCTTTCCCGGGCCAGGTGGTCACCTGATTCCTTTGTTCTCCAACCCTTCAGCTCTCACCTTGCAGGGGGGAAGGGCCCAGGCCATCAGTTGCCAGGAAACAGGGTGTTGGCCATTCTCTGTGTCCAGACTCCTGCACACACCTGCCCTCTAGGGCTCTGCAATGATCATACACCCTTACCCCACCACCTAGATACTTAAGAACTGCATAGGGGAAACTGAGGCACCCCCACACTATTCAGAGGAAACATTAAGAACAGGCCCACTTCGTCACACCCTCCCAGCCCGGTCAGGCCCCAGGGCCCACGCTGCGTCTGCCGGGTGGCTCCCCTCAGGGACAGGGATCGGGTCATCCAGCGATCCCTCTCCTCCAACTGGGCAATCAGCTGTTCCTTGGTGGACCTCCCGATGCGCAGCCCCCTCTGCCTGCACAGCTCCACCAGGTCACTCTTAAGGCGTTTAGCGTACATCTCCCTGCTGGCCACTCGCAGGCCGGGCAGCTTCCCACGGTTTCCAGGAAAAACCCCTCGTGTGCCAGTCCTTCTTGAGGTCACCACCTCTTTGCCAGGGTCGAGCTGCAGACTCCTCCGCCCCTGGGACCGCTCGCTGCAATCCCCCGGGGGACCCTGTTACTGCAAAAGTCCTTCTCTCTGGTCACACACTCCCAGGGGTTAACCGCCCCCCGAAACCGTCTCTCTCTGAATCTTCAGCACGCCTGGTCCCTGTCAATCCCCCTTCGTTTTACTGCTCCCCAGTCACTTACTGCAGGAAGCGCCGTTCACGGGGTGCAGTAAATCCCACCGCTGCCACCAGTTGTCACGGAGTGTGGGGGAGTCCAGGCCCTGCACCCCTCTTCCTGGGATCCACTGAGACTCTCAGCCAGCCAGTAAAACAGAAGGTTTATTGGACAACAGGAGCAAAGTCCAAAACAGACCATGTGGGTACACCCAGGACCCCTCAGTCAAGTCCTTCTGGGGGAGCAGGGAGCTCAGACCCCAGCCCTGGGGTTCCCTGCGTTCCTCCACCCAGCCCCAAACTGAAAACTAATCCCCCCCCCCCCAGCAGGCTCCCTCCTGCAGCCTCTGTTCACATTCCCGGGCAGAGGTGTCACGCTCCCCCCCCTGCCCCCCGCTGAGTCCCATGTTCACATCCCCCCCCCCCCCGTTCACATTCCCAGGTCAACACTGCCCCCTCCCTGCTGCGTCACACCGTCACAGAGGTGTACAGCCGGAGGACAGGGCCGGAGGCAGGGGACTATGAACTGTTCAAACAGGCCCTGCTCCGTGAGTTTGGGCTGACCCCCGAGATGTACCGGAGAAGGTTCCGGAGTCAGCGTAAAACGCCTGAGGTCACCTACCTACAACTGGTCAACCGGATGCAGGGGTATGCCCGCAAGTGGACAGCTGGGGCCCGAGCTAAAGAGGACCTGCTTGACCTAATTGTACTGGAGCAGCTGTATGAACAGTGCCCTTCCGACCTGAGGCTGTGGTTGGTGGACAAAAAGCTCGAGAACCCCCAGCACGCAGGGCAGCTGGCCGACGAGTTTGTGAACAGTCGGTCAGGGGGTAGCCGGGAGGAGTCCCAAAAGAACAGGCCCCCCTGATGCAGAGAGAGAGTCACCAGGGGGCCTCCCAGCGGGGAAATAGGGAGAACCCCCTCCCAAGGGGAACGCCTGGCGTCGGGCCCCTCCGACCCGCTCGAGGGGACCAACGTGACCTGAGCTGCTGTCACTGGGGCCAGAGAGGCCACGTACGGTCCCAGTGCCCTGGGCTCAGGGACAGACTGAGCCGACCCAACCTCCCCAGCCCTGATATTCTGTGACTCTACTCGCCTCACCTGCTGTTCGCGTACCGGGCGCTGCCCCGGGAGTACCGGGTCCTCTCCGCTCGAGTCGCTGTTCGGGACGGGAGTGAGGGGCCCCTGGAGCTGATGTGGGGCGAGTGGGAGGGGAAGGCCTCCCCCGATGGAGAATCAGTGGTGGGGCATGGCCTGACTCTCCGGGCAAAGCTCGCGGAGCTCGTGGGCCTGGCCGGGGGAAACCCGGCCAGGGCCCAAGGGAAGGAGAAAGCCTGGTTCGACCGCTCCGCACGGGCCCGCACCTACGCCACCGGGGACCAGGGGATGCTCCTCATCCCCGAGAGACAGAACAAACCACCGGCCCCCTGCGACGGCCCTTTGAGGTCATCAAGCAGCTGAAGGGGGTGGACCGTGTAGCAGAGCGGCCCAACCGGGCTCACAGCCACCGGGTGGGCCAGGCCAGCCTGACGAAGCCGCACTGGGACCGGGAGAGGCTGGTCCTGGCCGTGTGTGGCCAGTGGGGGAGCAGGGAGAGGATCCCCAGGTGGATCTATTCCCTGAGACAGGGGCCAGCCCTTTGCCGGGATCAGTTCCCCTCTCAGACCAGCTTAACCGCCCCCAGACGGAGACCCGAGGGGCGCTGGGTTCCTACCAGGAGCTGTTCGCCAACTGGCCTGGGCTCCCTAACCCGGCCGCCCACCAGCTGGAGACAGGAGCCCACCCCCGGTAAGATGCTCCCCATTTTGGGTCACTGGGAAAACAGCCCAGGACCTGGAGAGAGAGGTCAAGAACATGTTGGCTTTAGGGGTGATCCAGCCGTCCCCCAACCCTCGGGCCTCTCCGTGCTGCTGATCCCCAAGGAAGACGGGTTGATCCGGTTTTGTGTGGATTACCGGAGGCCTAAGGCCATCACCAAGTTCAATGCCCACCCCACGCCTAGGCCTGACGAGCTTCTAGACGAGCTGGGGGGTGGGGTCGTTATCTCCCCACGATGGATCTCACCAAGGGCTACTGGCAAGAACCTGGGGATCCGGATGCCCGACTGCAATCTGCTTCTATCACCCCCTGGGGCTCTGCGAGTTCCTGGCCCTGCCTTTCGGCCTAACGGGGGCACCGGCCACCTTCCAGCGCCTGGCGGACCAGCTCCTGAGGGGCAGGGAGAGTTTGGCCGTGGCGGATTTCCATGACATCCGTGTCTTTAGCCAGGCCTGGGAGGACCACGTGTCCCAGGAGAGAGGGGGCCGGGTCACCTCCAGGATGTAAAAGCTGCCAAGTGCCAGGTGGGGCTGGCCGAGGTGTCGTACCTGGGCCACAAGGTGGGGGGCGGCTGCCTAAAGCCAGAGCCGGCCACGGTGGGGGTGATCAGAGATGGGCCTGCCACCCAGGCTTTCATTGGGGTGGCGGGCGACTACCGGGGCGATGCTCGGGACCTGCTCCCTCCGGAGCCGGGCAGGGCTCTGGGGGAGCCTCCTCTCGGGGAGCAGCCTGTCTGCAGGACACACAGCTCCCCCGGCTCCACCTTCCTGGGTCCGACCCCGGAGCCTCCAGCCTCCTCTGCCCCTCTGGGCGCTGCCCACCGCGAGTCCGCCCAGGCGGGGTCCTGGGGGGGCCAGAGGGTCCTGCCCCCCGACTCCGCAGGCAGCCGGGACTCTCCGCTCGCTGGGGACCCAGAGGATTTATTCGTCGACAGGAGCCCGGCGCCGGGGGAGGGGTCCCCCGTGTGCCCAGCCCTCCCCCCCCCACCCCAGAGGGGCCACGACCCGGCGCCGGGCAAGGGGTCCCCCGTGTGCCCAGCCCTCCCCCCCTGCCCCAGAGGGGCCACGACCCGGCGCCGGGCGAGGGGTCCCCCGTGTGCCCAGCCCCCCCGCCCCAAGAGGGGCCACGACCCGGCGCCGGGCGAGGGGTCCCCCGTGTGCCCAGCCCTCCCCCCCCGCCCCCAGAGGGGCCACGACCCGGCGCCGGGCGAGGGGTCCCCCGCGTGCCCAGCCCCCCCCGCCCCAGAAGCAGCCGCGTCTCGCCCGCGCCCTGGAAGGAAAAGCCCGGCCGCGAACGCGCCAGCAGAATTTAATGCCGAGCCGGCAGGTTCGATTCAGTTACGAAACCCCCAACCCCGCGCCCGAGCGGCCCAAGTTTCCAGGGTCTTTTCGGTCGCCCCCTTTGCAACGAAAAACCAGCGGGGAGAATCGGGGCGAAGCCGCAGCCCAGAGCCGCCGAAACCCGAAATTAAACCCGGGCCGGAAACAGCCACAGCACGGGGGGGATTTTGGGAGCCGTGAATTCATACAAATTCCCAGCCTCTCCCAGTGGGGGGCGCTGGGGGGCGCTGGCTGGTTGGGGGGGAGAACTCCTGGGGGGAGGTCAGTGGTTGGGGGCTGAAATGGGGCCCCGGGGGTTGCTGGGGTGGGGCTGGGGAAAGAGGGGGCGCAGGGCTGAGAAGTTGGGGCACATTAAGGGGACAGGAGGGGGGCTGTATTCACAGTGCAGCCTTGGGAATTTGGGGGGGAAGGGCTGGTTTTGGGGGTTCCTGGCTCCAGTGCAGCCTCAGGGGAGCTTGGGGGGTGGGGCGTGGGAGGGATTTGGGGCTCAAGGTAGGTTTGTTTCTAGTGCAGACTCAGAGAGATTCAGGGGTGCTTGGGCGAAGTTTTGGGGGGTCGGGGGGGGTGTCGTTTCCTGAGCAGACGCAGGGGAAATGAGGAGCGCAGGGCAGGTTCGGGGGTGGGGGCATTGACAGTGCAAACTACGAGGACTTTGGGGGTGCTGTGGGGTGGTTTGGGGGGCTCAGCTTTCCAGTGCAGAGACAGGGGAATTTGGGGTTGCTGAGGCAAGAGACGGGGAGTCTCATTTCCAGTGCAGGCTCAAAGGAATTTGGGGGTGCAGTGGGGTTCATTTTTCCAGTGCAAACTCAGGGGGTTTAGGGGGCTCAGGGGGTGGCCGTATTCCCAGTGCAGACTCAGGGGGTTTGGGGGGTGCAGGGAGGTTCGGGGGGGCTGGGGCGGCTGTGTTGCGGCACGGACTCGAGGGGTCCCTTTGATTTCAGCTCCAGGACCCTTGGTCTTTTCCCCACCAGTTCAGCAGGCAATTCGGGGTGTGTCCCGCCGCGGCCGGCTGGCTCCGTCCCCCCTTTCTCTTTCCGTCTGGCCACCCCTGAACCCCAAATCTGCTGCCAGCCGCCTTCATCTCTCGTCCTTCTTGAAACTTTCGACGAATGCCAGGCCGTCGACCTGCGGGGGGAACGAGCGTTCGAATGCAGCACGGGGGGCTGGCGGGGAGCTGTGGGCAGCAGGGTGGGGGGCTGCCTGTGGGATGGGGTGAAGGTGCTGTGGGGCGCAGGCCGGTGGGGGGCGCCGTGGGGGGGGGGGGCGCTGTGGTGCGGAGGGGTGGCGGGGGGCGCCGTGGTGCGGGGAGGCCGGCGGGGGGGCGCCATGGGGCGGGGGCGCTGTGGGGCGGAGGCCGGTGGGGGGCGCCGTGGGGCGGGGGCGCTGTGGGGCGGAGGCCGGTGGGGGGCGCCGTGGGCGGGGGCGCTGTGGGGCGGAGGCCGGTGGGGGGCGCCGTGGGGCGGGGGGCGCTGTGGGGCGGAGGCCGGTGGGGGGGCGCCGTGGGCGGGGGCGCTGTGGGGCGGAGGCCGGCGGGGGGGCGCTGTGGGGCGGAGGCCGGCGGGGGGGCGCCGTGGGGCGGGGGGCACTCACCGGATGAAGGTTTTGAAGGCGGCCGAGTTGGGGTTGATGCACAGTGGGACCCGTGTCCCCTTCTGCTGATCCAGGATGAAGCTGTGAACCAGCTCTGCAAAAGGGGGCAGCTTCAGATCCGAGGGGGCCACAGGGGGAATTCACTGGGGGGGCTGGAGAGGAGGTGGGGGAGACAGATCCAAACCGGGAGGGTCCCTTGTGGGGGTGGAGGGTGGCTGTGGCAGCTAGAGGGAGTCTATGGCGGTTCATGCAAGGGGGGCTGGTGTTTGGGGGGACTGTGAGGGGTATCAGGGGTTTGGGGTCACAGCAGGAGGTCCCAGGGGATGAGGGTCAGTTTTAGGGGGCTGTGGGGGCCCAGGGGTAGGTCAGTGTGTGGGGTGATGGGGGACAGCAGGGGACCACGGCAGGAAGGGTCAGTGTGTGGGGGTGAAGGGGGTCCCCAGTGGGGGAGAGGCAGCATGTGGGGGCGATGGGGGCCTGGCGGGGGAGGGTCAGTGTGGGGGGGGGCAATGGGGGGCCCTGTGGGGGGGGTCAGAGTGTGGGGACAGCGGGGGGGCAGCGTGTGGGGCCCGGCGGGGGGTGACAGGGGGCGACAGGGGGCCGCGGGGGGCGACGGGGGGCGAATGGGGGGTGACGGGGGGCGGCGGGGGTCACCTTTGGCCTGCCAGACGGAGTGCAGGGCCCGCTCGTCGGCGTCGTCGAAGCGGGGGGCCGCGGGGGGCTCCAAGTCGGGGGCGTAGACGCGCCCCGAGGCCAGGCGGGGGCAGCAGCGGCAGATGGTCGTGTGGAAGCGGAGTCGCCCCTCCTGCAGGTACGGGTGGGCCAGAGCCTCCCGCGCCGAGATCCGCCGGGCCTGCCGAGAGCCAGCGTGGGACCCCGGCGTCCGGGGGGACCCCCAGCGCTCCCGGGGACCCCGGCGTCCGGAGGGACCCCCAGTGCTCCCGGGGACCCCGGCGTCCGGGCGGGGAACCCCCAGCGCTCCCGGGGACCCCGGCGTCCGGGCAGGGAAACCCCAGCGCTCCCGGGGACCCTGGCGTCCGGGCGGGGAACCCCCAGCGCTCCCGGGGACCCCGGCACCCAGACAGGGAACCCCCAGCGCTCCCAGGGACCCTGGCGTCCGGGCAGGCAACCCCCAGTGCTCCCGGGGACCCCGGCGTCCGGGCAGGCAACCCCCAGCGCTCCCGGGGACCGAGGCACCCAGACAGGGAACCCCCAGCGCTCCCGGGGGCCCCGGTGTCCGGGCAGGGAACCCCCAGCGCTCCCGGGGACCCCGGCGTCCAGGCGGGGAACCCCAGCGCTCCCGGGGACCGAGGCACCCAGACAGGGAACCCCCAGCGCTCCCGGGGACCCCGGCGTCCAGGCGGGGAACCCCCAGCGCTCCCGGGGACCGAGGCACCCAGACAGGGAACCCCCAGCGCTCCCGGGGACCCCGGCGTCCGGGCGGGGAACCCCCAGCGCTCCCGGGGACCCGAGGCACCCAGACAGGGAACCCCCAGCGCTCCCGGGGGCCCCGGCGTCCGGGCGGGGAACCCCCAGCGCTCCCGGGGACCCTGGCGTCCGGGCGGGGAACCTCCAGCGCTCCCGGGGACCCCGGCATCCAGACAGGGAACCCCCAGCATTCCCAGGGGCCCCGGCGTCCGGGGGGGCAACCCAGTGCTCCCAGGGACCCTGGCGTCCGGGCAGGGAACCCCCAGCGCTCCCAGGGGCCCCGGCGTCCAGGTGGGGAACCCCCACTGCTCCCAGGGACCCCGCCGTCTGGCAGGGAACCCCCAGTGCTCCCAGGGACCCCGGTGTCCGGTCAGGGAACCCCCAGCGCTCCCAGAGACCCCGGCATCCGGGGGGGGGGGTAATCCCAGCGCTCCCCGGGACCCTGGCGTCCGGGCGACTCACGGGGTCGAAGACCAGCAGACGGCAGAGCAGGTGAACGGCCTCGTGGGTCGCCTCCCCCGACAGCAGGTGCAGCACGGACAGCGCGGGCTGGACGGACGGACGGACACGGAGCCTGAGTGGGGCTCCTCCCCCAAGCCCCCGCTTCCCCCACCCAGCCCCCCGCTTCCCACAGCCCCCGTCCCAGCCCCCCGCTTCCCCCGCCCAGCCCTCCGCTTCCCACAGCCCCCCCGTCCCAGCCCCCCGCTTCCCCCGCCCAGCCCTCCGCTTCCCACAGCCCCCCGTCCCAGCCCCCGCTTCCCCCGCCCAGCCCTCCGCTTCCCCAGCCCCCCCGTCCCAGCCCCCGCTTCCCACAGCCCCAGTCCCAGCCCCCCGCTTCCCCCGCCCAGCCCTCCGCTTCCCACAGCCCCCCCCCGTCCCAGCCCCCTGCTTCCCCCCGCCCAGCCCCCGCTTCCCAGCCCCCGTCCCAGCCCCCCGCTTCCCCCTGCCCTGCCCCCGCTTCCCACAGCCCCCGTCCCAGCCCCCGCTTCTCCCGCCCAGCCCCCCGCTTCCCAGCCCCCGTCCCAGCCCCCCGCTTCCCCCACCCAGCCCCCGCTTCCCACAGCCCCCCGCTTCCCCCGCCCAGCCCCCTGCTTCCCACAGCCCCCCGTCCCAGCCCCCCGCTTCCCCCGCCCAGTCCCCCGCTTCCCACAGCCCCCGTCCCAGCCCCCCGCTTCCCCCGCCCAGCCCCCGCTTTCCACAGCCCCCGTCCCAGCCCCCCTTCCCCCAGCCCCCCCGTCCCAGCCCCCTGCTTCCCCCGCCCAGCCCCCGCTTCCCACAGCCCCCGTCCCAGCCCCCGCTTCCCCCACCCAGCCCCCGCTTCCCACAGCCCCCCGTCCCAGCCCCCGCTTCCCCTGCCCAGCCCCCGCTTCCCACAGCACCTCGTCCCAGCCCCCTGCTTCCCACAGCCCCCGTCCCAGCCCCCGCTTCCCCCGCCCAGCCCCTCATCCCAGCCCCCCCATCCCTGCCCCACCCCTTGATCCCAGCCCCCACGTCCCCCTCAGCCCACCACCCTGATCCCAGCCCCCCACTTCCCACAGCCCCCTCCTTACCTTCCCTCCAGCCCCCACGGCCCCCCGGGGTCTCACCGGTTTGTGGGCCCCCCTCATACCTTCCCTCCAGCCCCCACGGCCCCCCGGGGTCTCACCGGTTTGTGGGCGCCCCGCAGCACGTGGGCCCGGGCCCCCTCGCAGGCCGAGCGCAGGGCGTGGGAAGGGGGGGTGCCGAGTAGGTCGGTGATCAGGTCCAGCTGCGGGGGGGGAGGGGAGTTATTGGGGGGTGCGAGAGCCTCCCCCCATGCAACCCACCCCCCACTAGCCTCTCCCCCTGATTCCCTTCCCCACTCCCTCCCCTCCCCCCAATCCCCTTCCCCACTCCTTCCCCCCCAGATCCCCTCCCCACTCCCTCCCCTCCCCCCAGATCCCCTCCCCCACCTCGCCCCTCCTCCAATCCCTCCCCACTCCCTCCCTCCCCCCAATCCCCTCCCCCACTTCCTCCCCTCCCCCAGATCCCTCCCCCACCTCGCCCCTCCTCCAATCCCCTCCCCACTCCCTCCCCTCCCCCCAATCCCCTCCCCACTTCCCTCCCCCTCCCCCAGATCCCCTCCCCCCACCTCTCCCCTCCCCCATCCCTTTCCCACTCCTTCCCCTCCCCCAGATCCCCTCCCCCACCTCTCCCTCCCCCAATCCCCTCCCCACTCCCTCCCCTCCCCCCCAATCCCCTCCCCACTTCCTCCCCTCCCCCCAGATCCCTTCCCCCACCTCTCCCCTCCCCCCATCCCTTTCCCACTCCCTCCCCCTCCCCCCAGATCCCCTCCCCCAATCCCCTCCCCACTCCCTCCCCTCCCCCCAGATCCCCCCACCTGCTGGATGGGGCTGGGGGCCTGGAAGAGAACCCGCCGGCTCAGCAGCTCGGCGAAGATGCAGCCGACGGCCCAGAGGTCGACGGGGGCTCCGTAGTGGGGGGTGCCCATGAGGATCTCGGGGGCCCGGTAGTACTGGGTCACCACCTCCTGCGTCATGGGCTGCCCCTCGTCCGGCTCCTCCAGCCGCGCCAGCCCGAAGTCGCAGATCTGCCGCGGGGAGGGGGGTGAGCCCGGACGCCTGGGTCCCCCCTGGGAACGCTGCGGGGAGCCCAGCCCGGACGCCTGGGTCCCCTGCCCATCCCAGTTTCTGGGGAGCATTGCAGGGCCCCCTAGTGGAACAGGCCCAGACGCCTGGGTCCCTTCCCCTGTCCCGGCGTCTGGGAGCCGTCCCGGACGCCTGGGTCCCTTCCCCTGTCCCGGCGTCTGGGAGCCGTCCCGGACACCTGGGTCCCTTCCCCTGTCCCGGCGTCTGGGAGCCGTCCCGGACGCCTGGGTCCCTTCCCCTGTCCCGGTCTCTGGCAGCCGTCCCGGACGCCTGGGTCCCACCCCAGAGGCTGGGGGGGCGTCTCTCACCTTGAGGACGCAGTTGCTGTTCACCAGCAGGTTCCCTGGCTTGATGTCCCGATGGAGAACGCCGGCCGAGTGCAAATATTTCAGACCTGCAGGGAGGGAGGCAGCGTTGGGGGGGGGGGGTTGGGGACCCCTGAAATCTGCCCTTCTTCCTGCTCAGGGACCCCGCCCAGGTTCCCCTCCCGTGCCGAGATAAACGGGGGAGGAGGGCAGGAGCCGAGAAGGGGCCGGTGACATATGGGGGGAGGCAGGGTGGCCCGGTGGGGGGCGGGGGGGGGTTGGAGTGTACTGGGGATGGTGTATTGGGGTGGCTGAGGATGGATATCTGGGGGGCCCTGGGGATTGGGTGAGCCTGGGGGGGTGGTCGAGGGGACTGGGGAGACTGGGGGGCTCTGGGGGGGTCCGTGGAGGGTCTAGGAGGGTTTCTGGGGTCCCTGGGAGGTTTGGGGGGCCTGGGGGAGGTTTGGGGGGTCCTGGGGGCCCTGGGAGTTTGGGGGGGCACAGGGGAGGTTTGGGAGGCCCTGGGAGGTTTGGAGGGTCCTGGGGCACCCTGGGAGGTTGGGGGAGGCCCAGGGGGGCCCTGGGAGGTTTGGGGGGCCCAGGGAGGATTTGGTGGGGCCTGGGAGGTTTGGGGGGCCGGGGGAGGTTTGGGGGGCCTGGGGAGGTTGGGGGGGCCTGGGAGGTTTGGGGGGGCCCCAGGGGGGGGTTGGGGGGCCTGGGAGGTTTGGGGGTCCTGGGAGGTTTGGGGGGACCCGGGGGAGGTTCGGGGGGGGGCCCGGGAGGTTTGGGGGGGGCCTGGGAGGTTGGGGGGGCCGGGGGAGGTTGGGGGGGCTCTGGGAGGTTTGGGGGTGGCCTGGGAGGTTTGGGGGGCCCGGGGGAGGTTCGGGGGCCCCAGGGAGGTTTGGGGGGGGTCCTGGGAGGTTGGGGGGCCCGGGGGAGGTTCGGGGGACCCAGGGAGGTTTGGGGGGGCCGGGGGAGGTTCAGGGGGGGCCTGGGAGGTTGGGGGGCCTGGGGAGGTTTGGGGGGGCCCGGGGAGGTTCGGGGGGGCCCGGGAGGTTTGGGGGGGACCTGGGAGGTTTGGGGGGACCCGGGGAGGTTGGGGGCCGGGGAGGTTTGGGGGGCCTGGGGAGGTTTGGGGGGGGCCTGGGAGGTTGGGGGGGGCCGGGGAGGTTTGGGGGGGGGGCCTGGGAGGTTTGGGGGGACCCGGGGAGGTTCGGGGGGCCCGGGGAGGTTTGGGGGGGCCCGGGAGGTTCGGGGGGGCCTGGGAGGTTGGGGGGCCGGGGAGGTTTGGGGGGGCCCGGGAGGTTCAGGGGGGGCCTGGGAGGTTTGGGGGGGCCCGGGGAGGTTCGGGGGGCCTGGGAGGTTTGGGGGGCCCGGGGAGGTTTGGGGGGGCCCGGGGAGGTTCGGGGGGCCTGGGAGGTTGGGGGGGACCCAGGGAGGTTTGGGGGCCCGGGGAGGTTCGGGGGGGCCTGGGAGGTTGGGGGGGCCCGGGGAGGTTTGGGGGGGCCCGGGGAGGTTCAGGGGGCCGGGGAGGGTTTGGAAGGGCCTGGGAGGTTGGGGGGCCCGGGGAGGTTTGGGGGGGCCCGGGGAGGTTGGGGGGGCCCGGGGTCTCACCGCGCAGGATCTGGTAGAGGAAGACCTTGATGTGCTCGGCGCTCAGCGGCTGGGGGGACACGATCACCTTGTGCAGGTCGCTCTGCATCAGCTCCGTGAGCACGTAGCTACCGCCCGGCGCGGGGTCAAGGGCGCAGCTCGGGGGGCAGAGCCCCATGGCCCCCCCGCTCCCATCCCCCCCGGGCCCCCAGCTCCCTGCCCCCAGCCTCGCCTCTGTCAGCGGGTAGCTACAAGTGCTGCCCCCGATAACCCCCCCGGACCCCTAACTGCCCCCGGCACCTCCCCCTGCTGCCAGTTACCCCCCAGGGCAGCCCCCCACGGTTCCCCCAGCCCCTCCCCCACGGGGGCGGATACATCTCCTCAAAGCAGTCGATCTGGGGGGGCTGCAGGATATCCAGCGCTGACAGCACCTGAGGGGCACCGACGGGGGGGGGGTGAGACAAAAGAGGGGAGCCCCCAGATACCCCCACAGGGTCCCAGAGCCAGCCCCATGGCGTCCCCGGGACTGGCCAGCCAGAGCCCCCAGCCCCACCCCTCTGCCCCCCACTGCAACCCCCAGCCCCACGGCATCCTCCATACAGCAACCCCCACTCCTCTGTCACAGCCCCTCCCACTGACCCATAGCCCCCAGCCCCACTGCAACCCCCAGCCCCACAGCCTCCTCCATACAGTAAACTGGTAAATTATAGGGCTTCATAAACACCCCCCCTCAATCCAACCCACAGCCCCCCACAACTGCTACCCCTGCACCATCCCTCCCAAACCCTCAGGCCCCCCATCCTGGTGCCCCCCTGCCCCCCGCCCCCCCTCACGTTCTCATGTTTGAAGGAACAGAGCATCTTGAGTTCCCGAAACACCCGTTTGCAGGAGACGAGATTCTGGAAAACATTCGGCATCTTCTTCAGGGCGACCCGCTTCCCGTCCCGGGGGTCCGTGACCGACCTGGGGAGACAGACGGACGCGGTGCCCCCCACTCCCGACCCGCAGCCCCTGCCAGCCCAGCCCTGGGCCCCCCCCTGCCCTGCCGGTGCCCCCCACTCCTGACCCGCAGCCCCTGCCAGCCCAGCCCTGGGCCCCCCCCCCTGCCCTGCCGGTGCCCCTCACTCCCGACCCGCAGCCCCCTGCCAGCCCAGCCCTGCCCCCCAGCCCTGCCGGTGCCCCCCACTCCCGACCCGCAGCCCCTGCCAGCCCAGCCCTGCCCCCCAGCCCTGCCGGTGCCCCTCACTCCCGACTCACAGCCCCTGCCAGCCCAGCCCTGCCCCCCAGCCCTGCCGGTGCCCCCCACTCCCGACCCGCAGCCCCCTGCCAGCCCAGCCCTGCCCCCCAGCCCTGCCGGTGCCCCTCACTCCCGACCCGCAGCCCCCTGCCAGCCCAGCCCTGCCCCCCAGCCCTGCCGGTGCCCCCCACTCCTGACCCGCAGCCCCTGCCAGCCCAGCCCTGCCCCCCAGCCCTGCCGGTGCCCCCTCACTCCCGACTCACAGCCCCTGCCAGCCCAGCCCTGCCCCCCCAGCCCTGCGGGTGCCCCCCACTCCCGACCCGCAGCCCCCTGCCAGCCCAGCCCTGCCCCCCAGCCCTGCCGGTGCCCCCCACTCCCGACCCGCAGCCCCTGCCAGCCCAGCCCTGCCCCCCAGCCCTGCGGGTGCCCCCCACTCCCGACCCGCAGCCCCCTGCCAGCCCAGCCCTGGGCCCCCCCCTGCCCTGCCGGTGCCCCTCACTCCCGACCCGCAGCCCCCTGCCAGCCCAGCCCTGCCCCCCAGCCCTGCCGGTGCCCCTCACTCCTGACCCGCAGCCCCCCCCCGCTAGCCCAGCCCTGCCCCCCAGCCCTGCCGGTGCCCCTCACTCCTGACCCGCAGCCCCCCCCCGCTAGCCCAGCCCTGCCCCCCAACCCTGCCGGTGCCCCTCACTCCCGACCCGCAGCCCCCTGCCAGCCCGGCCCTGCGCCCCCCAACCCCCGGCTCTTACCACACGACTCCGAAGGCGCCGTAGCCGATGGGCCGATCCGGTTCGGGTTCCCCCGTCATTCGGGCCGGGGCCGGCGGGGTCTGGGCCAGCGCCGGCTGATGCTGCTGTTGGGGCGACCCCCCCTGCACCCCAGCGGGGCAGTAAAATTTCTGGGGCGCCCCCAGCCCAGCTGCCAGGGGGGGCTGGATCAGCCCTGTCAGTGCCCCCAGAACATTGCTACACAGCTGGGTCTGGAGGGCGGGGTTGGGGCCCTGGAAGGCCATTGGGGAGCAGCTGTGGGGTTCGGGGGGATGGGCAGGTGCCGCAGGGGTGGGGGGCTGGAGCCGGGAGGCTGGAGGGGAGGATTAGGGGGTGGGGGGATGGGATGAGAAGCAGACCCTAATGGGGCGGGTGGGGGGGGATGCTGGGAGTATCGAGGTGTCTGGGGGAGTGGGCAGGATGAGGAGGGGCTGGGGTGGGAACTGGGGGTGCTGGGAATTGGGGGTCTGTGGGGCAGGGAATTGGGGGCTGTGGGGCCGGGATTTGGGGGGCAGGGACTTGGGGTCCGTGGGGCAGGGGAAGCGGGGGGCTCTGGGCGGGTTATTGGGGGGCTGGATGTGTCGGGGGAGAGAAGCTGGCGGGGCTGCACTTTAAGCTCCCACTGTAAGCAGCCCCGGCTGGGCTGGGGGGGCAGGGCGGGATCGGGGGCACAGGGCCCCCCAGTACTCAAATCGCATCCATCCCCCCGAGCCCCGGGGCGGGGGGGCGGGGCTGGGGGCGCAGCGGGAGGGGACGCGTGGGGGGCGCAGCGGGGGGGTGGCGAAGGGCTGGGGGGCAGCGGGGGCGGGGGGGGTCCCCGCGATGGGCTCCGGGAGCGGCCCCAGGCCCGGCGCGGCGCAAGGATGCGGCGGCTCCGGCTGGTCCTTTGTTAAAGGCAACGGCGGGGGGGGGGGGGCGGAGACTCCGCCCAGCTGGGAAAAATCCCCCGGACAGAAATCGGGCAGGGGGTGGGGGGCGTGAGGGGTGGAGTGGGAGGGATAGAGAGAAGGGGGGGGGGGTCGATGGGGATAGACAGACAGATAGATAGATGTGGTGGACGGGGATGGATAGATAGATAGATAGATAGATAGATAGATAGATAGATAGATAGATAGATAGATAGAGAGGGTCGATGGGGATGGATAGATAGATAGATAGATAGATAGATAGATAGATAGAGAGGGTCGATGGGGATGGATAGATAGATAGATAGATAGATAGATAGATAGATAGATAGATAGATAGATAGAGAGGGTCG